ATTGCAGCTATCGTCATTAACTCGTTTTGCGCAGAATGGACGAAAAAGGACGCGAAATGATTTTAATTAACTTTGTAATTATTAATTATTATGTCATTAATTTGTTATACGAGTATAATTTAGCTCTCACATTAGGTAAAACGCATCACGTAAATTTGAGTATAGTTGCAATTACATCGCTCGAGCGTCCGCACTCGTCCGCGCATTTTGCGTACATAACACGCGACGGATTCGGTTACATTAATTTTTAGATAAGTATTCGATAATGCGCCCTTTACCTAAACCGCCTTTGATGTGGCCTACGTTGGTGGTTTCGAACGATAGTACTTTCAAAGCAAAGACACGGGCGAGCAACATGCAAAATGTTATACTTTTGCATAGAAAATTATCTCGATCGAAAACACTACAAGGTATCAATGACAAGTTTATCTCAAAAAGAGAGACAAGACAAAATATATAAGAATATAGAAAGAATCTCTTCTCCCTCCTCTTCGCTCCTCCCTCTCAAAAGGTTTTATCCTCTTTTTCCACAACGGACTCTCTTACTCAATGTATCTTTTTATTTGAAAGCTCCTTATCATCTGTTTACTTTTTATTATATTTACTCATTCATGTATGCTCGTGCATGCTAGTATAATGTATAACAAATACGTGTTTCACGAGAGCTGAAATATAATGGAAATGTTGATCGATCGCACGCGATAGTTGGAACTTAAAGTTCGTGTCTCATTGAAGAAAACCGTCGTGAGAAATAATTATAATCGAGAGTGTTTATTAGAACAGGATCCGGTAGAGCGAACTTCCGAGAAATATAGAACGAACGAAAAACGCAAATTTCCAGAGAGCCTTGTTCGTGGGCGTTTAATAGCCGGTGCTCGTAAAATACTTGAGAATCTCATACGAAAATTACCGCCTGACCCCGATATTCCCACCTCTTTTCCGGAGCTCTCTTTTCCCCGCACGCTGGTCGCGTGCCGCGGTGAACTGCGCGATTATTTGAGATATAAGTCGACCCATTCTTTTCCAACATGTTATTATTAAGCGCAGCAGAAATCATTTAATAATTATAGAACCTGATTAAAAAATCTAATTAAAAAATCAGATTTAAAAAAAGCAATATTCTGGATTTAATTTTATGGCAAAAGCTTGGTTTTAATAAAACACGATTTATTTGTTACTAATCATAGAAAATCTGCAAATCATTAATAATAGTACATGCGTTCAAATTTCTTTGTCTTTAAAATCGCTATTTTAAAATTATATTTTAAAATTATTCGTGCATAATCAGCTCCTTGCGCGAAACGATCGATTCTTCCGTTCGAGATTCGTGTTTCGAGTGCATTTTATTGAAGAGTCGCACGAATTAAGACTCTCCTCACGTACGCGAACGGACCAAATAAGGAGGCAAGTCTTAAACGAGACGAGTTGTGCCACAAACTGTGCGGATACCCAGGAGAATACACGTAGAAGATTTAGCGCTCGACTATTAATTAATAATCATTTCGAAAACTTGACGAAATAGCGATACGTAATACTCGCGAAAATCCAATTTTCTATCTTCAATTGCTCGCAAAAATTTCAATACATATATAAATATTTCGATGTAATTATGTATATCAATTAGAAAACGATATTCGTTTCTTTTCTTTCGTCCATTATACCTATCGACTCCAACGTTATCATCTCTCGAACAGCATAAACGTAATAGCGTAAAATTTATACGTGACCGAAATTCGGGAACAATGTGGTTCGCCAAGGTAAATAGAATCCGTCTCGATTTACTCGCTACAAACGGGGAGTAAGTTTGACCATCGAGTTGCCAAGTGAAATGAATAGGCATCCAGCAAAGTCCTACATTAATCGACGTTGCTGTTTCTACGAGACTCGCTGACGTAGTAATTAATGAGGCGTACGTCAACGAACCTATGCGTCATCGATGGAATTCGAGGAAAATTCGCTCGATGCTTGATTACCAGCAATTTCCGGCGAAATTGTTTCGTTTCCGCGTTACGATATTAATCAAACTTAATTTCTTCCCGCCGAGATGAAATCGACACGACGGTGACATCGTCGTTCCCGGTTCTGTCTATCAATTATCGACTCGTACACACGTTGAGGAAAGGCGTAGAGCGGCGCTTACATCAACGTGCAGACCAACACCATCCTATCAAAAGACGTGTCCTCGTTCTCCTCATATGTCACACGTATACGTATAGCGAGTGTATGTGTAGCGAGAGCAGAACGTTGGACTGACCACGACACGACGAACGAACGCGTCGCCGTAAAAGGCCATTAATGTCCATCGCTTGTAGATCTTCATCGTTCGTGTATCGGCATCCTTTTCGACGAGAAAAGCGATCGCACATAATCTTCTCGACAATTTCTCAATTTATATCCACGGCCTGCACGATTTTTGGTTTTCCCGAAAATGATAATGCGCGAGTTATCGCTCGAAATTAAATTTATCGTCAGTTAATCGCGATCCTGAGCGAGTCTTTGTTTACCGAGCAACGTCTGATATTTATACATGCATCCACCGATAATAAAAAAAAAAAAAAGAATTCTTAAAACGAACCTAATCGCCCATTGACATTTCTTAATCCAGGAGTCTGATTTATGATACAAGCGATTTACGGCGATTTTTCAATTCAACAATTTGCAAAAAGAAAACAAAAATAAATACCATTCTGTTATATTAAAAAAGATATTACGAAAACAAATTCTATTCAAAATATACACGGTGCAATTTTCATGGAAATATCGCATCAAGTGCATCGAAAACAAAGCTCGCGTTTAGAGATAACATTCTTTCTCAACTATAATGCGCAAAAAAAAAAAAAAAAAAAAAAAAAAAAACCTCTTATGGTTAAGCGGCGAGGCGATTTGCGTGCATTTTCCGCGCGAAGACAGCGAGATTATTACCGGCGATATTTCATCGAGCCGCTAAAACCAGCCGGCGGTTGGCTTTCGACTCTACTCTTCTCTCTCCTCTTCTGTGCGCATTGCTTGCATTAAAGGTCGCGCAATTGTAAAATGTAACTACGTGTAAGCGCGCGGTGTATATGAGATTTATGCCTGTCGGCCCGGCGCGCGAGCGCCGCCTCCTCTCCGAAATTTATTTCCCCCCTCTGTCTCCCTCCCGCTTCCTCTTCGCCAAATTCCACGTACGCGTTTCTTTTTCGCGAGATAATATTTTCTACACGGCAGAGAGAGAGAGAGAGAGAGAGAGAGAGAGAGAGAAAGAGAGAGCGAAGTCTCGAAAGCGTTTTGAGAAGAAATTTTTTTACCGAGAGATTATTATTGGAATGTAAAAATTATTTGAATAGTTTTAATAATTATTGCAAGTACTCTCCCACACAAGAATCCTCATGCTGATTGACGCAAGCTACTGTAAAGTACTCTCAGGTACCATCTGTCAAGTGCTGGCATGCAGCGGCATAACACGAATTATTGTTGCGCAAACTTCGCCGCTACGAGAGGTTTAACAAGATACGTTGCATTCCAGTGAAGTAACCCTAAGGCCGTTTTTCGATAGCGGAGAGACGCGGGGTGCCGATGCGCTTCACAATCGACCGCCTCTCGTCTCTGTCGTCTCGGTCCATCCACAGAGAACCGAATCTCTAACGCGTCCGGCTTTTATTATTTTTGTTCGACGAAATCCTTTTTGTACAAGCAAAAAAAAAAAAAAAAAAAAAAAAAAAAAAATTTTTTTAAAAAAAAAAAAAAAAAAAAAGATCGAATATCTTGTTCAATCAATACTGCGTGTGCACCTTTATAGATTGTAATCCTAGCTATTAGTTAACGTATCGTAAAAACCGACGTTACAAAACGCGTGCAAATATTTTGTTCGCGTATTTTATATATTTGCCGCTGTTAAAAACTACACGACCGTTATTATAGAACACAGCCATTATTCTGTGTAACGTAAAAAACGTATGGTTTTTACGATATCAAATTTTCACTCGCTTTCTCTCTCTCTCTCTTTTAATTAAGACTAATTATAAATTGACGATAATAATATATATAAACAAAGAATAAATGTATAACGCAGTTAGTATTTGTCGTAGCTTACACTTGAGGGTCCAATTATTTATTTAAAATTTACTCCCTCTCATTAGCCAATTAAGAAGATTGCGCGAACTTGCTTCAATTCTTTCCAAAGTTTCTATGAACAAGACTAACAACGGAGCCCCGTTACAACCCGTTATCGGGGATAAACTCGATCTTTAGCGTAACTCCCTCAGCGTAAACGTCTACTTATTACGCAAACAAAAGTTCAGAGAAAGAGAGAGAGAGAGAGAAGAAAGAGTAAGAGAGTGATATATATATATATATGCGCGTCACCTCCCCTTCTGTTGTATTTATTGACATACGTCGTTCCGAAATAGCGTTTTGCTTTCGCCATAAAAAAAAGAGGAGCACGAGTATCTCTCTTTGAACACAAAGAGAAAGAAACATGTTGTGTTTATTCCGATATACAATTCGTGTATGAATTCTTCTATATACAATTATTCTGATTATTTGACGCGCAATGGCGCGAGTATAAACGGAGCGAATATGTTTCACGATAAAACAAATAATACAAACTTGCTCGTTTAGGTTTGAAAAGAAACGTGTTTCGAAATTAAAATTGAATCGCTGTCGTTCAAAAATGCACGAGACAACAGAAATTTCCGAACGCGAAAGCGGCTTACTTCACACCTCGATTTGAACACCACTGTAACCGACGACGAGACGCCAAGAATGCACGAGAGTACCTCAATCGGCGTAATACTTTACTTTATAGAGAGAAAGGTAGCGCGCGTTGTGTGTTTGCGTAAACGTTCGTGCCGCCGATTCCGCATATCGACGACGTTCCGGTTCGTCGCGTGCGAAGGGACGTCGGCGATCCCTCGAGACGACGCGCAGTTTCCGGAGAATCGCATTCTTCCCTCTTTCTTTCTCTCTCTCTCTCTCTCTCTCTCTCTCTACCGATCGTGGATAGGTAGATAGGCACTCACCTCGGTAGCGGCGTTGCATCCCGCGAGGATCACCACAGCCGTGCTCACCAGAATCCAGTGTATCCTTAGTCGCATTTTTATCCCGTAATCTCGATGGGCCCCGTTCGCGGTGCCCGGCTTTATGCACGCGCACGAATTCCGGGTCGAGTGGCCGCGAAGAATCCGCGTTAACGTAGCGCAAGCCGAACGTAGGAACAAATCACTAAAAAAAATCCTCCGGAACAACAACGCGACACACACCACACTGATCGATGAACCGCGAGACACTGGAGGCGCGACGATCGCCCGCTATCGTCGACTAGACGGCCATGACAGTCCGCCATGTTACCGCGACGCCCCCACCGCGTTCAGCGCCATCTGTCGAGACCGTGAGAAATCAAATCGTGTTACCGACGCGGTCGATAAGCTCGGCCATTAGCGACATTTACAAAGACGATTTATTCCGAACATAGATATATGTCAAGATATATATATATTATATGCATTATTCTATGTATTTTTTTTATTTTTATCAACAGCATAGATATATTATATGTCTATGTATTTGAGATTCTTTGAATAAGATCTGTCAAAATGATCGAACGAAATAGGATGCTACTCGTCATTTAAATGACTCGATATAGCTCAACTTTTGACGATCGTTTATTCGAGCAAATTCTGATTATTTTAATCATTAATTAACTTGTAGAATAATTAACGACAAAATTCCCAACGATACAATTATTTTAATAAGTATATAATAGAAATATTGTTGATCAATCGTGTGGTCAAAGTGAATAATTGCCGTCAATAAAAATTGCACGAACGTTTATTTCAAATCAATTTCACACAGATCGCGAAACGTAATTTTGAAATGACAATGCATTAAAATCGCGTTAATTCTTTTTATCCCCAGAGGATAAATCTTTCTCCAGGTCTTTCAAAAATCTCAGATTCTCGTTTATGCCGCGATTGTATTCTTCGATTTTATTTCGCATAACTTGTACTTCTCTCTGCATATGTTTCACCTCGTCTTGAGTCTTTTCCTTGACGACTTTCAATAATTTCTTATTCTAAATATTTATATAACGCGTTGTGTTATGACTGTAATGTTTGATCGTGAAGTAACGTTTTTTGCAATGATACCTGTTTGTAATAATATTCTGTTTCATATGCCACATCGCCGAATGATGTTTGATCCTTTTTTATGTGCGAATCATGCTTCTTTCTTCTATTAATTCTATTAAAATATCTAAAACTGAAAGAAACGCTTGCATATTTATATTGTCAATCAGAGAAAAATGACATAGCCACAAGCGTTTGGGACACATTATCTGTAAATCAAATGTTTTTAAATTTTCTTAATACCTGGGCTTGTGCATTTCTCTGAGAACATGTCGAAGCATTGTGTGTAATTGTTAAATAAAAAATTTATTATGCAATGTAGATATTTAATATATAATTTTTTTTATGATTCACTAATTAAATAAAAAATATTTTTGAAAGGTTATACAAGACCGGATGAAACAAATTCGCATCTCCGAGATTTAAAAGATCAAAATTGGCGCGCGTTATGTCACATTAAAATAATTTAACGTTGAAACAAGGTTTAACAACAATGAAAAACACGTTTTATTCTCACGTATATAACTGTCTTTCAGACATTTAAAGTACAAAGACCTCTTACGATAGTCTCCCCAAAAAGATAACCAATATATATAATATTCAATGAGTTTATGCTTAAATAATGTTAATTGAGAGCATTTCATTTAATATCTTTTTAACATTTTGTACATAAGAAAAGAAATGCTGCGATATTCTATTATTTCTACTATTTCCAATCTTTTTATATTGAAATTAATAGTATTGCCAAAATCAGAAATATCACGCTAATAAAATTTCTTCACGCATTCACTCTTTCTGTTCCATATCTGTCATTCGCTTTTTGTGACGATTTATAGCTTCCTGATGACGCTTAATCTGTTCCTCGTGGAATGAGATTTCATCGTGGAGGCTCTCTCGCATCTTTTGTAATTGTTCCTTTTGCTGAAATAAAATATTTAAACTTATATAATAAGCAAATCAAGTTTTTTATGCGAAGAAAGTTAACAGAAGAGAAAAAATGCCGACCAGATTATAAAAGTATTGATCTTCATGGGCAGCTTCCATCTTTCCGAAGGAACCACCAGCATCACGAATGGCACCACCACTACCACCTCCTTTTCCAGCACCGGAACCACGTTCTCCAGACATTCTTATGTGACTACAACACAATACATATTTAAATTATAACAAAATATTTGAAAAATAAAAAAACTTTTACTTGAAAAAATAAAATAAGATATTATTCAAAGGGGTTATGTCTACTACTATCTACTAAAGCATTACATAATGTTGATATAGCGTTCGTTCGGGTCATATGTCACAAATATATAATACATTAAAAAGAGACAATTTGCATTCAGCGAAAAAATAAGAGCATTTTTATAGACTGATATATAAGTGCGAATAAAGATGACTGAAATTTACGTCTATGATGGGGGAAACACCGGGTAAGAAGCGTGAATGAAAGGTATTTATTCGAAATAAATTATTGCGTTTCCGAGAGTATATCGCGAAGCTGTTCCGATACCTTAACGCAGAGATATTCCGCGAAAAGGTCGTAATTGCTCGTTGCATTTTTTCCCGATCACGAAACACTTGGTATCAGACGTTAGACGAAGACTTGGCAGATCGACAAGAACGACTTGGAGCGGTCTCTTGTCGTAAACGAAACGCTTATTCTTAGAACGTAAAACTCACAATCAGTCGCGCCCGGCGATGCAGGCGCCGCGAATATCGACGGATTCCCGCGATTTCAAACGTCGAGCATACTTTTTTGGAGCATTCGAATTAAACTAGAATCGCTAATACGTGTATAAGAATGTTGAGAACCGAATAAATCGACCTATAGTATTCGGCGGCTTGATCTTCCATCAACTGCTTCTTGATCTCGGATGTTTTCAATTCATTGATGGCAGTCTGCTTTTGCAATTCTGCACGTTCCAGCTCGATGTGCAGCATCCGCAATTTGATCTCGTGCTCGCGTTGCGTAGACTTGAAGATCCACATGGCTCTCTGCACCGATTTGTCTTTGTCGGATGAGACCGGGTTGTTCCAACCCATGGAAGCGGAGGATAACTCGTTCCTCGCGTCGTTGAGTTCTGTCGCTTGAAAGAAAAATATTCTCTACTTGTTTGCTGTATTTTGCGCATAGAATTAAAAAAAAAGACATCGTGTACCATCGTCAATACGGGACGTCGATACGCTGTCGGGGCAAGCGGTTTTTTGTTCGACAAGGTCTACGGGCTCGTTCTCTGTCGCGATCCTGGAACGCTTCTGCGGCAAGAAACCGTCATCCGATAGTTTTTGCGACAATTCGCCGCGACTGTTCTCATCCTCCGTATCGCTGTTGACCTCGATCTTAATCTCGTGTCCCTGCCCTAAATAATCGTCCCGATAATTTTGAATATAATGATAATTTCGAAAGTAGCGAGGGGTTGCTCGAAAACCGCGTCCGAAAGCCCAACCTGACGTCTCCGGCGTGGGTAACGTCAATTTATCCAGGATGGCGTGTATCGCCGTTCGATTTGTCGGATTTTCATTATCCTGACTACTGTCGTCCGAACGATCGGCCTCGCAATCGTTCTTACGCACGCTCTCCATCAATCGCCATACCTCGATCGATAGATTCGATGGTTGGGACTTGACGGCCGCTTCCGGTCCCAAAGTTCGCACCTGCGCGGATGACACCGTAAGAAAGATAGATGAAACAGGAGAGGAGAAAAAAATGATATATAAACGCGCCTCGAATCGGCCGCACCTTTTCCGCGTACGTGTACATCTCCATTCTTGCCTGCGCCTTCATCCGTCGCCATTGTTCCCTGATCCTGGTGATGTCCCGATCTGCCGAAAATCTGCCGCGGAATGCGCAATAGATCTGTTGCCAGGCGAGGGACTTCATCGCGGACGCGGCCGCGTCGATTTTCTTGTTCTCGATCGCGTTCACGTGGTGCTTGATCAGGGTAAACAGAGCGTTCTTCTCCTCGGGGATCCAATTCTGCGTCCTCTCCCTCTTCTTCAGCAGCACCGTAGTCGCTTCCGCGGACATGCTCCTTTTTATAAAGTTAACGGAGCGCTATCAGCGGCGGCTTTGCTCAAAGGAAACACCGACTTTCGTCTAATTTGAAGTTAATCCACGTCGATTCGCGGATACAAACGACGTCTCCTATACGCGCATTGATCCACCGTTGTTTCGCGGCCTCGTTTGCTTGTTTAAGCGCGGTTTTAGAACAGTCAGCTGTTTAGTTGCTACCGACGTCGCCGATGTGTCTACCGAGTGTCTGCCGCGAAAAAGTCGCCGCAATTTTAATTCGCGACTACTTGGAATTATATTTATATGAAGATCTCTTTTTACGCACTTAAATTACTTTATCAATACAATAGCATCATTGCTTTTACAATCAATTCCGTGACTAATTCGAAGATCGTGACGCGACTTTTTATTTACGATTAATATATGTGTCTGCAATTATAAAATTTTGAATATATAATATATATTTACGAGACACTATATATATTTTTGCTCCTTATATAAAATTTCTTAAACAATATTAAATTAAATTTGTATTATAGACGGAACGTGCGAAAAGCGTTGGATGAAACACGAGCGTTTCGGAGCGAAGTGAGAAGAGGAGATGATAGCTCGGTAATATGTAAACAGCCGAAAGATAAGCAAGCGACTTAAATCCGAACTAAGGGACGACTAAACGCCGGCCATTTTGGCACGGTACTAGCTAGAACGCGCTCGATATTAACAAATCTCGGTTCCGGGATGGGACGGGAGAGGAGAGAGGACGAGATGAGGACGAGAAGAGAGAGGGATATCCGACGTTCCGCGCAACGCAAACATTGTTTCGTTTCATTTCGCGACCCGTCGCGGAATCATATTGCGCCGATTCCAATATTTCCATCGTTTTATTGCGATTCTAGCGGATCCCCACCTCTCGTCGAGCGCCGTCGCGTCCGCGTATCATCCTTCTCTCTCCTTGTCTATCTCTACGAATACCTCGACACAATTAATCGTAATAAATTATTTCAGTATTTTTGTGACGAGAAAAATTTTTGGGCGATATTATATTTCCGAATAAGCAAAAAATAATATATAAAGACAAATGTAAAATCTCTGCACGCCTACACACACACACACACACACACACATACATACACACACGGTTAAAAATTTGTCTGTAATTTTCCTTCTCACTGTTCAAATCAATAGCGATATTTTTTTTCGTTTCTATCTTCCCATAAATCTATCACGAAAGCTAACACAGAAACACACCAACTTTACTGCGCAACTGTAATCACACTATTTACAATCTCTCTCATTCTTGTACTTTATACGTTCCCGAGTTTTATGATCGGTTTATGTAACGCATCGGATAAGTTAGCTGCATGCGCGAAAATTAAACGCCCTCGAGAAAAGGGAAGTTTTTAACTCTTCGAGCAAAACAAGAAATGCTGACAACGTAAATTACAGGTGCGAAGTTATAGCATCATAAAATGCTTATCACGTAATATCGAGTTTAACGAAAAAGATTGCTAAATAATTGGAATCTGTTTATTTCAAACATTTTTAAAGCTTATTGGTATATCTTTGTAAAGACGCTTTTCGCGACTACCTCTCTCGATCATAGATTAAATAATTGATCTTGTTGCCCTTTTTCTTTTTATACCAAAATATACAATAACATTCATCAGAATTGTCAGAAGCAGTAACCCGGTCATGTCCCACCAAAAGTTCCCTTCGTTATATCCATACTTCGATAAAACTTCCGTTCCATTCGATAAACAAGGCAGGTCGCGATTGACTGGACAGTCTAAAAAAAAAATATCAGAATGTTAATAAATGTGTTTGCTCACCTATAATAAATAATCAACAATCGATATTAACCGATATTCTTTATTCCCGACCAGTATATTATCGATACAGCTGCGGTGGCGTAATAAAAAACCGACACATATTTGAAGTAGCCCAAGTAGCTCGGCAGAGTTCTACAAAAATAATAAACATTTGATGTACTATATTAATCAATTCGTTATACATATATAATATCGATATAACGCGCAACGCTTTCTTACCGAAGATTGTAAAACACACCCGCCGTCAAAAGGAATAGCAAATCGAACGGTACCATTATCGTGACAACAATGTCGATGTCGGTGATCCAACTGGAAATCATCATGCCGTATGCGGTACCGCAAATCGCCGTCATTGTCGTACAGAGACAATACAAGCAAAAGTCAAGTAGCCAAAATTCGGAATGTAACAGGAAATACATTACGACCGTGAACAAAAATGCTTTGAATATTGTCTTGGGTATCTGAGGAGTTTTGTATCGTAATTATATGTCGTGTCGATCTTGTTTTTTCTTTTCACGATGCATTAAATAATTACCGAGCCGAAAATAGTGGCGAAGTAATAGGGTCCTGGCGCATATACGGTACTCTCGCGAAGGTAAAGAACAAGTTCGCCAGGTAATTCGTAAATGACAGAATAGGCGACCGTAAATATAATTTCAGATATCATCATATATAACGCACCGCGAATGTTTTGTATTCCCTCTTGTGTCGATGATTTAGTGCCGACATAAAAAATACTGACAAAGATTACGGATAGCTGCAAGATTATAGTTTTCTTTTACACTAAAATTTATGCCTCGTCTGATAACATCAAGATATTTTTATTAATTTATTACCGAAAAAGAAAACCACGCGGTCCAATTGTCGGAAACTGTCCTTTTATCTTGCAAAAATATTCTCCAGAGCAACCAATAAAATTGTACAAACCATCCTGATTTTCTATAAAGATATATAATGATCAATTAGATGTTATATCTATAGAGATTCTTTTGAAAAATTCTGTGGTCGTTTTTTATTTCAATACTTTTGTGGAACGACGCGCGCGTGAAAAATTGTTCTCGCATTCTCGATCGCAGGAATTTTTGACAGTGACGATTGCGAGAACGCTCGACACAGTTCAATACTGCGATCCGTTGTCCAATTTTGACGTGACAGGATGTTTATGTAATATTCGGACTCGTCGTAGTTTACAGGACAGTGATAATCCTGGCTATGCAAACATATCGATTGTTTTGTCATTATTACTCGCCGCAATTTAATGCAACTGCGATTAATCGAAACATCAGGTTTACCTTTTAAAAAAATCTGTAGCATTTCCTAAAGTCCCGAAGTATATCGATCTTCCATCCGCCATTAATAATACATGACTGAACATATTGTATATCATCATACCGGGCTGATGAATCGTACAAAAAATTATTGTACCTCTCGATGCAATCAGTTTCAACGATTGCACGACGCATATCGCGGCAAAAGTGTCCAGACCTACATTTAATATTGCACAATACTTGACGTAATCTCTTGCGTAAAGCGATAACTTTGACATTCTCACCTGTGGTTGGCTCGTCTAGAAAAAATATTTTAGGCTTTGTCACTAATTCCGTGGCTAACGATAAACGCTTTCTTTCACCGCCCGATAGTTTCGATATAAGAGTATCGATACATTCGTATAATGCAAGATCTCGCAAAAGTTCTTCGCCCAAGGTTTTTCTTCGTAATGCACTGCAACTATTTCCCATTTTCAGAGCACACTAAAGAGAAATACATAGTTTTATATTGACACTAATAATCTCTCTCTCTCTCTCTCTCTCTCTCTCTCTCTCTCTCTCTCTCTCTCTCTATCGTAAAAAAATTATATTGTATTTAATAATTTAAATTTGCTCTCAATCGCGACTCGTGGACAGAGCAAAGAGAAATAAATGAAATCGTTTGTTAAATATATCTTTTCAATACCACGAACGACATATACTCCCTTGGTGTGAGTGCAGAGGGCAGAGCGTCAAACTGCGGCATATAACTCGATATTTCTGCCATCGTTTCTTTGGAAACGTCGTGCCCATTGATCTTCACTGTGCCCGAAGTTAATTTGAGCCTTCTCGCCAAGGCAGCAAGAAACGTGGTTTTGCCGGCGCCACTAAAGAAATAAGTCTGCCCTTGACGTGAATTTATCGTAAAATTATCACGACGAAACATGCTAATATAGAATTTGCGTACCTTGGTCCTAATATAGCAAACATATTACCGGTTTCTGCGTATCCAGATACTATAAAAAGTATCGACATTAATATATATTATTCGTTGATAAAAATGATTAAATAATAAATATTTAATGTAATCTAGATATACAAATTCGTTTTTCGCTGCAGTTTAATGTCGACAAAACATTACCTCCTTTCAGTATAGTAAACATTTTCACGCTTTTTTTACGCAACAACTTGCACCACACTTTTCCCGAACACTCATCATCCTCAATAGGTACAGTAACGGTCATATTTTCCCAGAACAGATGAAAAATTTGGAAAGTCATCTCATCGTCAATCGAATTTGTTAATTGTACCATTGTAACTATTCACTTCTAAAAAGCTTCTCTGCTTAATATTGCTGGAGCATTATGAAACTAAAAAAAAATTTCGCTATCTCTATTTCTCTGCTTCTTAATATTTCTTATCATCGTTATCTAGAGTCGTATATATGTTTGTGAAGAAGATTAATATACTTACTAGATTTTGCTAATTTCGAATCACATAGACATTTATTTTCATTATACGATTTCAGCTGAGAAAGGAAGATGACAAAAAAAGATGGGATGATGCATATATCGGAAGAAAAGGAAAAAGAGAATCAATGTATTACGCGCTATCTAATATAAACAAATTTAATACAGTTAAATATTGTTGTATCTATATTGTGTATTGTATCTATACAAAAAAGTTTGAAGTAGGCAAAGGTAGTAATGTTATTATTGTTGAGTGGTAATAGCGAGTTATACGTATATAATTTTTTCGTAAATAACATAATATATGTATATATCTACAATTTTCTCTGCGATAACACGATATGCGCGCTGCATTATAAATCGCTATATAAAAGTGCAAAACATTGCTCGAAAGGTGAAAAAGATCATCAATGTAAAATCTGAATTATTTACAGTAATGTATACATGCATATGTAGCTCTTGATACATCGTCGATTACTCGCCAATATACCTATGCTGACGTACGTAAATCTCTATCAAGAATATTACACATTTGCATTTCCTCTCGTGTCTTGGAATTCGGAAACGAGATATCGCTCATTAAAAATTCCCAAGTTTTTTTTACCGCAGTTTTATTTTCGCCCTGAATTTCAGTCCAAACAGTTGCGACGCTACCGGTAAATTCGTTTAAACGCATTGTCTACTGTAAAATGGTCATTAGACGTGACATGGCGCACTAATTGCAATCAGCTACCTCGAATAATTAGATGTGACCGTGCGAACGAAGGCATAATGTTGTCGACAAATCAATTCGAATGAGATAAATAGTAAAAAGTACGATCGATGCAAGTACGAAGCGTATTACTGCCAATCTAATGATATCGATTGAACTAATTGAAGTAAGAGTACTATGTTCTTTGCTACAACACGTAAAATTTTTAATTCTTGCTATTAATGATGCTAAAAGCGATCCTATAAATAGTAGTCATTGGTTTGATTTTGGGCGGAATGTAAGCATTGTTGTATGTATATAAATCTATTTATAATTCGTTCAATACTTGAATATACACACGTACATGTAATATTGCACTTAAAACAAGTATTGCATAAGAAAGTTTAAAATACCTTAAATAGTGAAATTTTGTTTCATTTGCACGATAAATATTTCGAGACTTTAATTTTGTAAGTATAATGCTATATAAGTCACAATATAAAAAGTATAAACATATACGGCATATATACGGTATATCGCGATAATTGCAAGCTGTATCAATAAAACACAATTTCACGATTCTCATTGACCTATGATTTGCGACAGCGTGTTAATCTATTAAAAAGAAATATATCGGGAAGACTACCAAAGTCATTATGTCATCATTACGCAGTTCAAGCGTTACTTATATTATATAAGAAATATTTTTAAAAAAATTTTATACATATATAGTTATTATAATTTTTTTAT